CAAAAAATCATTTTTATATACTAGCAATGAACAATTAAGATTAGATTTCAAAAATGTGATATATAATAGAACCAAAAACAGAAACATTAGATGCAATTTAAGTATGCATACAGTCTATATTTTGAAAAAATACTGAAATGTAAAGAAAACTTTTTTTTGGTCATGGGGCTTGAACTCTAGGCCTGGGCGCTCTCCCTGCACTCTTCAGCTCAAGGCTAACAGCACTCTGCCACTTGAGCCACAGCACCACTTCCGGCTTTTTGTTCATGTGGTGCTGAGGAATCGAACACAAGGCCTCATACATGTGAGGCAAGCCTTCTACCACTGAGCCACCTTCCCAGCCCTTAAAGAAAACTTAAAGACATGTCATATTCATGGGTTCATCAAGACTCAGTATTGTAGATCTACCCAAAGTGATCTAAAGATTCAGAACAATCCCAATCAGAATCTTAGGAAGATTATTGTATATCTATCAATGAGCAGTTGTCAAATATCAAATAATTGTAACACACAACTCCTGTAGATAGATCTTGAATGTTTCTGCCCATGTGTAAAATGCTTGGATGACAGGCTGTGATGTTTTTGGGAGGTGGTAGATCCTTTAAAAGGCATATCTCAGTGGAAGGAAGGCTAGGTAGGCTAGGTAAGAAGTTGCCCAAGAAGGAGATATTAAGATCCTGGCCCCTTCTCTCTCTATCTCATTGCTTTCTGGTTGCAATGTGGAGGTTAGCTTTGTTCCTTTAGGTACCTGCTGCTCCTTCATGCTGCCTTGCTACAGGCCCAAGAACAATGGGGCCAGTTACTACGTGGGAAAGACAGCCATAAGTCAAAATAAACCTGTCCTAATTGTAAACTAATTTATCATAGTGCAAACTTATTTGTCACAGTGGGAGAAAGCTGACTAACAATAAAACAACCTAAACAGTCAAAACAACTTGGAAAAGCAGAATGGAGATAGAAGGACTTGACCGGCCTGGTTCCAATGTCTACCATAAAGCTCCAGCTATGAAAACATTGTTTTAGCATTGGTAAAATGTAGACACATGAACCTGCAGGACAGAATCTAGAAATAGACTCAAAAATGTCGGTCATGAGCTTTTGACAAACATGTAGATGCAATTCAGTGGAGAAAGGAGAATCTTCATAACCAATGTGAATCTTGACGCATGGAGTATAGACCTACATATATAGTGTAATACTTAAAACTTCTAGTAAAAAAATCAAAAGAGAAAACCTCTGAGACTTTGGGTTAAGTAGGATTTATAAATATCACATTCAAAGCACCATTCATAAGAAAAAAAAGTTGATAACTGGATATAAACTTAGAAACTTGTTCTTCCAAAGACATTTAAGAGAAGCACAACTCAAAAACTAGGAGAAAGTATTTGCACATCACACACCTAAGAGGAATAATATCCACAGAATATAAAGAACATGTAAGCCTCAACAGTAACTTAATAACTTAAAAATTGGCAATGCTGGTACAAAGACTTGTATATGAATAGCAGCTTTAATCAAAATTTTCCCACCTGGAGACAACCACAATGTCCTTTAATCCTACTGTTATAGATTGATTCCAAAGACATTTTAGTACAAAGTCAAACCCAAAAGCCTACATACTATTCTATCTCTTTAGTACTCTGGAAAAGGCAAAACACTACAAAGTAGTGAACAGGTTGATAGGTGGTTATCATTGAGATGGAGTTGTATTGATTGAAAAAGAAAAACATGAAAGTTTTTTCAAGGGAAGGAACTGTATTTTGGGAGTAAAAACTTGATATTTCTCAAGTACATTGAACTGACTACCAGAGACAAAAAAGTGAATTTTTCTCTAAGGCAATTAAAAACTAAATTTGAATCAAGTGCTAATGGTTCATGCCGATAGTACTAGCTACTTGGAGGCTGAGGTTAGAGACTGCAAGCATATATATGAGACTTCTTTTCAATCAATAGCTGTGTACAGTGATGCATATCTGTCATCTACTAAGGAAGTCTAAAATAGGTACATCAAAGTCCAGGAGTGTGTGTAGCCAGTAAGTTAGAGTATGCCAAAATAACTAGTACTAAAAAGCACATGGTCGGCCACACACTGGTGACTCATGCTTGTAATCCTCCCTAGTCAAGAAGCTGAGGTCTGAGAATCTGTTCAAAGCCAGCCTGAGCAGGAAAGTCCATGAGACTCTTATCTCCAAATAACTTCCAAAAACAAGTCAGAAGTGGGGCTGTGGCTCAAGTGGTAGAGTGCTGGCCTTGAGCACAAAGGATCAGTGCCCCTGCCCTGAGTTCAAGCCCCAGAATTGGCATAAAAAGAAGAGTATGACTCAATGGTAGAGTACCTTCCTAGCAAGTGTTAGGCCCTGAATTCAAACCCTAGTGTGTGTGTGTATGTGTGTGTGTGTGTGTGTGTCTATAAAATAATAATGTGTTAGAATAATCACTCATCTGAATTTAGTATCTGAAATATAACCACCTTTTCCTGAGTTACTATACTTTATTACTCTATTTTAAAATTGGATCAGTAAATAGTTTTTTGTTGTTGGTTTCTGGGCTTGAAAGTCCTCAAAGCTAGCACTCTATACTTGAGCCACAGCGCCACTTCTGGTTTTTGAGTGGTTAATTGGAGATAAGAATCTCAAAGGGACTTTTCTGCCTGGGCTGGCTTTGAACCACGATCCTCAGATCTCAGCCTCCTGAGTAGGTAGGATTACAGTCGTGAGCCACCAGAGCCCAGCCAGTAAGTACTTTTTAATGTTCTGTACAACATGTAAAAATCAGTCTCTATTTGTCTTAATGTTTAGATCAGTGAATTCTGAGAGTCAGCTCTCTGGTGAGCATCTTCCTCATTTGTTACCTGAACATAGCTGCCATTTTGCTCTGCACATCGCTTAGTTTTCATCAGTCATGGTTTATTTGGCTGTCTGGATTCTAAAGCTGAGCGACTGACTCTTGAGTGTTGTTACCTGAGGAGGCCAAGGCAGCATGGGGGCAGGAAGCAGATGGCTGTGTGGGAAGGGTGCAATGACTCATTAGTTTCATGTGTTTGATTTTTTTTAATATAGAAATGTTAAGGACCCCCAAAGAAAATCTTTTTATATTAAGCACCTTTGACCTGTCTCCTTTTAATGACATCAATAAATCTTCTTTCTCCTCCACAGTGTTGGACTTATTTTAATGAATGTGAGTTCTAATTCCATATTTGTTAATAAGTAAGTCAGATTCTGTATCAACTAGCTTTTTCAGAGTATTATTTTGGGGCTGGAGGTAGGCTCAATGATAGAGAATTTATCTAGTATGCTTGGCCCTAGCATCAAAAACACTATTATTGTTATTATTATTATTAATCTTAGGGGACTTATGGAGATTTATTTTATGGTAAAAATAACATTTCTGTGGACATACAGGTAACTTCACCTATATCATTTATAAGACTTTTCTCTTTTACGATTTATTTTCCAAATGTTTATGGCAATGATAAAGGATGTTCTTAGTTTTTATGCTAATAATTTGTAGCTTGATATTACTTGATATACCTCACTAAATTATATTTAGTATGTCAAGAGTAATCCAGTTAATTCTATTGGGGTAGGTTTTTTTTTCCTTTTGCTTTGTTTTTTTTGTTGGCTGTCAAGCATAATCTATCCAAGTAAAAATAATTATGATTTTATTTTATAGAATTCTTTACTTTCAAAAGATTTTTACCAGATTGGTTGGGATTTTCAGAAAGCTATTGTATTGTTTGGGGGATTGTTAACCAACTTTTTCCCCTTATTTCCACGGGCATACTTATAAGTACAAAATTTTATAAAATGTATATTGTTCACATTAGGGAATTCTTTAGTATTTTTAGTTTGTAGCATCCATGTATGTGAATTATGCTAAGTATTAAATGTAGGGTCTCATGCATATTACAGAATGTTCTTTAACACAAATCTGCCTTCCCAACTCACCATGCAGCTCTTCTTCATGGAAAATGGATTTTGTACTGTAATTAATGTATCTGGAGCATCAGTGGAAATTTTCATGATTTCTTTCATTGAACCATTCTTGCATTCTCCAAATAAAATTTAAACATAGTATCTATGGTTCTCTTAGTATAACACGTAATACATTTTGTTAGTTTTTCTTACATATTTGTCAATATCCATAAATGAAATTCAGAGTAATCTGAATTTTATTTCTGGCAAAATAAAATTGTCAAATTCTGCCATTAGGTTTCTGGTATCTTCATATTAATTATCTTTACAAATTGGAGGAATTGGTATGTATAGCTCTATTGCCATTTTTAGTCTCAATTTACTATACTTTCACTTCTTTTCCTGATTATAATTGCCAAAATTTAGTTTATATTAATTCTGAAACCTAGTTCTGGATTAACAAATTTATCTGCTTTGTAAAAGACAATGTTTTTACTTGTTACATACTCTTTTTTTTGGGGGGGGGTCAGTTGTGGGGCTTCAATTCTGGTTCCTGTCCTTCAGCTCTTTAGCTCAAGGCTAGTGCTCTACCACTTGAGCCACAGCGCCACAGTTTTCTGGTGGTTTATTGGAGTTAAGAGTTATAGACTTTCCTGCCTGAGCTGGCTTTGAACTGCAGTCCTGGGATCTCAGCCTCCTTAGTAGCTGGGATTACAGGCGTGCGCCACTGGCACCTGGCCTTTGTTACTTACTCTTGTTTTCTACAGATCTGGTTTTTAAGTGGCTTTGTTCATAAACTTGTTTGTTTCATTGCTGAAATTTAGCAGAGAGCACTAGCTCCTGCTTTCCACCACAGTAATCTGCAATTATTATATGACTGTCTTGTTAAAAAAGAGGAGGTTTGTAGAATTTTATAAAACTACTTTCAGTGGAACTGCAATTTTAAAATTCAGTTTGACATGAAGAGAGAAACATCCCTTTTCTTTCCTCATTTCCTCTTTTGAGTACTAAGTTATTGAAGCTGAAATGTGCTTATTAGGCATGATTTAGGAGTCATCTTGTGAAGTCTTTGTTTTCTACTTGCAGATATTGCGGTGGTAGAGATGAGTGATGCCTTCCGTCAGCCGTCCTTGTTTTACCATCTTGGGGTGAGAGAAAGCTTCAGCATGGCCAACAACATCATCCTCTACTGTGACACTAACTCAGACTCTCTGCAGTCCTTGAAGGTAGCTCTCTTGTTTTATTCCAGTGTTTAATTTCAGCACCAGTGTTCAAGGAGACCTCTTTTTCATCCAAAATATTTTAAGTCACTTATGCTTCTGCAGGTATGTTTTCGGTAATTAGTCCCCAATTATGAGGTCTATCAGGACCTCACCATGAAGAAATGTAAGTGATACATAGGTAGAAAAAACTTATCATTGGGTTCTGAATTTTAGTCGAGTTGCTTCTGAGGAGACTGTGTTAAAAGAAGGCACAGGTACACACTTAGGATAAAGAAAAAGAGATTGTAGAAGGTATATCAGGCCTGGTACCTGATCATTGGGCTCTTCATTGTACCCAAATTGTTCCAACTAAAGTATGCTTTCTACTGAAAGTGCTCAGAGTAGAAATTCTGAGTATCCTGAGAAAATTGCTATGCCTGTACACTGAAATAACATTTCAATCAAGGTGGGAATTAAAGCTTACTGCTTAAGATTACCTATTTGGATATCACTCGATCCATGAATAAGAATATCCCTGATATTAAAATCATTTCCTTTACAAGCAAAGTTTCCTAACTAATTTTGCAAGATGACTTTACACTGTGGGATTCTTTGAAAAGCATCTCACCATTCAGTGAACTTCATGCTGGGCCTAGAATGGCCCATTTCCTTTGTGCAGTTTCCAGCTCATTTCAAGTGGCCTTTTCTCATCTCTGTCCTCCCATTCCCAAATCAGAAATGGCCTTGGGATACAGGGCTCTAGAATGAGTTCAGAACATAATTAAAACAGCTTAACTGTTGGCAACTGAAGTTCCTCAACCCTCAAATCCTTGCTAATTTTTTTAAAGTACTGTCTTGTTCTCTTCGGGTATGTAAAGCATGTATGGCTCTCTCAGAAAAATGTGGACGTTGCACTGAGCAAATATATTTACTGCATGCCAGGCACTGGGTTGACATGCATTTCTTTTCAGAGTGATTTTTAGTCTTAATCTAATTTTTGCTTAGAGTGATCTTTAAGATCACTATTTAATTTTCCTATAGTTTTACCCCTTTTATTACTACATAATAAAATTTGGAACTGACTGTTAAGATAAACATTTTGATTAGCAGTTGATGATTTTATTTATTCTTGATCCTCTTCATTTTTCTTTAGATTAAGTTAAATAGGTGAGGCTGTATCAGAAACTTTCTTTCTATTCTGTTTTGTTCTTCCCCAGCTAACATCTGACTATCAAACGTTATGACAGTTCTTTCTTAAGGAAGCTTTTTTCATGAATTACAATTACATTTGAGAGAAAGAAATAAAGCTAATTTTACCAGAAACTTGTATGAGCCAAAGAATCTGGCTTAATTGTTTTCTTAGGAATATTTGAGTAAAGGAGTTCTTTAAAAAGTCTAAGGATATCTAAACTATGCTTATTCATCTTGTATGTGCTTATTATCTTGCTTCTTGAGCATCTCTACCATATGCTAGGTATTTAGTGCTTTATGTATATACATTTTTTGGGGGGGTCTGGTCATGGGGCCTGAACTCTGGGCCTGGGCACTGTCCCTCAGCTCTTCAGCTCAAGGCTAGCGCTCTACCACTTGAGCCACAGTGCCACTTCCAGCTTTTTTCTTTTTGCTTCTGTGGTGCTGAGGAATCGAAACCAGGGCCTCATGCATGCAAGGCAAGCACTCTACCACTGAGCCACCTTCCCAGCCCCCTGTGTATACATTTTTTTACACTGCATTTTTGTGTGTGTGCATGGTGTTAAGAGCTGAACCCAGGGTTTGGGGACATGCCCTTGAGCCACTGCTCTACTGCTGAGCTACATTCCCCAGCCCATAGTTAATTTTTTTTCTTTTTTGTCAGTCAAGGGTCTTTTAGCACCTGGGTGCTGTCCCTGAGTTCTTTTTACTCAAGACTAGTGCTCTCCACTTTGAGTCACAGCTCCACTTCCGGTTTTCTGGTGGTTAATTGAAGATAAGGGTTTCACAGACTTTCCTGCCTGGGCTAGCTTTGAGCCATGATCTTCACATCTCAGCCTTCTGGGTAGCCAGGATTGCAGGCATGAGCCACCAGCACCTGGCTTCTTAAGGACTCTTCATAAAGACTTTCAAGCAGTAATCCTAATGAGAATTTTAATGTAGAGGAAATGTATTTTAATGTTTTTGTTGTTGTTGGATGTGAGGCCTGAACTCTGGGTCTGGACGCTATCCCTGAGCTTCTCAGCTCAAGGCTAGCACTCTACCACTTGAGCCACAGAGCCACTTCCAGCTTTTTCTGCTTATGTGGTGCTGAGGAATGGAACCCAGGACTTCATGCATGTAAGGCAAGCACTCTACCACTGAACTACCTTCCCAGCCCTGTATTTTAATTTTTAAAGCACTTTTGATAGGTATATTTTCTATCATAATTTTACAGAATTACAAGCTGAGACTCAGACACATTCATGTTTCCAAGGTGATAGAGCAAAGGACATTTTCAACCAGATCTGCCCCACTCCACAGCCAATACTACCTAACCACCAGCTTATTCATTGTCTATTGCATTTCTCTCCGTATCTGCAGAGGATACAGGATTTTTCATTAAAACAAACAAACATTAGCTAGGCCTCTCATATTTTCCTGTGTAACATGTAGCTTTTTTTTTCTTTTTTTCTTTCCCTTTCCATTAACATGAGTCTTCCATTTTCTTACACCATTTCTAACCAGTCAGTCTGTGGTGCCTTGTAGTACAGGACAGAAATATGTGGCACAGGAAGTATTTTTTATAGTCTAAACAATTTCCTGCCCTAAAAGGTCCTCTTTACTGCAAAACACTGATGGGTAGGTTTAAGTGGAATTGTGCATACTTGTATTTAATTTTGCAGTGGGTAATAGGGATAACCTTCTTATCTCTTACCATCTACAACAGAAAGGAAGACTACATTGGAATAAGGACAAGAGATAGTCAGATCACAGCTCATGGGAGGATAGGCTGCTAAAACAAAATAAAGCAACTCCCTATTTTCACAGGGGTAGAGACAGAATTAGAGTGCTATTCTTGTTATATATGCAGTTTGCGTACGTGGATTCTTTGGGCATCAGAGAAGGTACAGCTGCACTGGTTTTATTTTCATCTACTGCTCTGTGTTGAAGACAGCAGTTTCTCTTTGGCAGTGAATTCTTAGAAATAGAAAAAAATCTTTTTACACTTCTTGAAAAATTATTGATGAGAACTGTAAAAGTACTTAAAAACTATGTCTAAATTGTAATTTGGAAGGAGATTTCACATGTACTCATTAGGTACTTGCAATAAAATTCTTATCTGTTGTAATTCACAAACATTTTCCATTCTAGAAGATATGGTGTCATTTATCTTCTTTCCAAAATAGATCATTTTACTTTCTGAGAGGGAAGTTGGTTCTTTTTTATTTAGCATTATAACAATTTTCTTTAAACCAATCTCATGAGACGTTCTCATGAACGTATTAATGCTCACTGAAGACAGATGCTGAGATTTACATTTGCTTTAAAATAAGAAATGCTAATAACAGATGTTGGGTTTGGGTTTTTTGACATATTTGCACATTTAAAAGGAGTCTCTCAGTAAGTGGAGAGTCAATCTGGACTCTGCTGCCTAGTGAGCTGTGGTACAGATGCATGAAACATATCTGATATCAGAAAATTGCTCTCCCTCCATCCCCTGAGGATTGGAGAACTGAATCTGCTAAAACAAAAAATAAGCAGAGCTAAGGAGAAGAGGTGAACAAATTTATTACTATACAAGGATATAGGAGGCACACAAAGTATGTTAACTCAAAGATGGGCCTGAGTATTGATGCTTAAATACTGTCCTCAGAGGAAAGAGGGAAGTGGAGAATAGATGCAAGAGTAAATATTCACATTGTTTTGTGTTGATAGAAACTGAATAGAGAACCATAGTAAGTAAATGCTGTATCATTGATTTCCTGTCCTCCAGCCTGAAGAGAAAATGATTTTTTGAGTATTCTATTTTTTTTTATTTTTATTTTTTGTTGGTCATGGACCTTGAACTCTGGGCTTGGGTGCTATCCCTTAGCTCTTCAGCTCAAGGCCAGGGCTCTACCGCTTGAGCCACAGCACCACCTCTGGTATTCTAGTGGTTTATTGGAGATAATAATCTCATGGAGTTTCCTGCCCGGGCTGGCTTTGAATCATGATCCTGAGATCTCAGCCACCTGAGTAGCTAGGATTACAGGTGAGCCACCAGCGCCCTGCGAGTGTTCTATTTTTTAAAAAATTATATTCATTTTGCCTTTAAGTAGTTGTTCAAATGGGTTATATCATTCAACACATCAACTTTTAAGTTCCATGTATCTTGATCACTGTTACCCTTTTCATTCCCCCATCCCTCCCAACTCAGCCCCTCCCCTCAATTTTCCTAATTTCATTGGATATACATTGAATATTATGACTATATTCTCAGTAAGTCAATCTCAAGAGAAATAAGTGGATCCAAAGAACAGACAGTAGCCTGAGACAGTTCACCTGGGCTGAGAATGTGTATAGTGTTGATTGTAGATTCTAGTCTTTCTAATCTGGAGGATTTGGCCTTCAGCTAGAGACAGGAGCTACAGAGAGACACAAGGGACAGGAGAAGGTCAGAGAGATCTTGGCTCTGAGACTGCATTTTAGTTCAAAGTGCTCAGCTTGTCAGAGTGCCATATATGGGGGTCTCATTTTTTTTGAGTCCTAACAACCATTTCTCCTTTTTTTGTGACCATTTTCTCCTGCTTCCTTCTCTAGCTCCTTCCCTCCTGCCCACATTAAGCAATGTTGCTTATAAAATAAAGCAAAACCAAACAGTGAAACACTACTGCACATCGTAGTATAGTCAATACTTAAAAGCTCCGGTAAGGGCTAGAGTGTAAGTTGGTGGTAGAGCACTCACTACCTAGCATGCATGAGCTCGGGGCACACCCACCATGGGCTCCTCTACCCTGCACACACAATGGGAAATGTACAGATGTACAGATGTACTGCTGGGAGAGAGTGTGTATTGATATTCGCTTCAGAAAGCAATTTGGTAATGTCTAAAAATATCAAGTGAGTACATTACTGAGAATGAGCAATTTGTGTGTGTGTGAGTGCGCTCTTGTGCTGGGCCTTGAACTCAAGTCTTGGGTACTTTCCCAGAGCTTTTTCTCTCAAGGCTAGAACTCTACCATTTAAGCCACAGCTGTACTTTCTAGCTTTTTAAATTTTTGCTGGTTAATTGGAGATAAGAGTCTCACAGATTTTCCTGTCTGGGTTGGCTTTAAACCTCAATCATCAGATCTCAGCCTACTTAGTGGTTTGGATTACAGGTGTGAGCCATTGTGCTCTGCTTGAGACCAAACAATTTTAACCTCAGATGTGAACTGTTAAAAAAAAAAAAGTCTCTCATCTGCATAAGAAAAGCTAGTGACAAGCTTTCCCCCTCAATTATTAGGTACTACTATCCATACTACTTCCTTTTGCAGAGCTATATCAAAAAACCTGAAAGAACAAATTAGAAGGGGAAAGATTTATCCTGGGTTCATGCTTTGGGAGTGGTCGGTCCTCTGTTGCTGGACCCCACGCACTTGGGCAGATCCCACGGCCTTGGGACCATGTGGGGAGGTGGTGTTCTCTTCGTGGGAGGAAAGAAGCCAAGAGTGAGAAAGGGAACAGGAGTGTCATGTAATTTTCAGAGTCTCTCGGAGACCTATTTCCTCTAGCTAGGCTTCACTAAAAACAATGCCAACTGGCTGGGGACCAAGCATTCAAAACATGAACCCATATTCAAACCATAACACCACTGAATTAGGACTTCTAAAAGCTCAAAAGGCTTTATTTGTCTTTCTTAGGACATTCATTTACCTGATGCCACAATTTAAATGTGCAAAAGGGCTATTCTCTTACTTTGATCCCCTAGTCAACTAGCTGATTCCATTGACAACTACTGTTCCTTTCGTACCCATTGGAGAGATTTTATTATGAATGTGCAAATTAGAATGTCCTTGCTCTCTCTCTCTCTTTTAAATGCTGTCTTTAAGTAGTAGTACAAAAAGGTTTCAATTCAACATGTCAGTTTAGGAGTACAATGCATCTTGATCCTTCTTATACTGAAATAGGAGCAGAGTCTAAAAACTATTCAATTTTTTCTCTAACTTACCAGTATATCTTGGTCAATGTTTCTGTAGCTGTGCAGAAAGCATGCCCTTATTCTTTGGCTCCATTCTGTTCTGTTGATTGGAGAGGGATATAGTTTACTCAACCAGTTTCTAGTGATGCACATTTGTGTGGTTCCCAACATTTGCTACCAGTGTTCCAATAAATGCTGATATGTTTTCATTCATACACTCCCCTTAAACAACACTTTGTGAAGTGGGTGTGTAGTACATGCCTGTAATCCCAGCACTCAGAAGTCTGAGGCATGAGGCCTGTAAACCTAGACTATACAGCAAGATCCTGTCTCAAAAAAAATTCCAAATAACTTATCATATCTGTATGTGTCAAAATGAACTTTCTACTTTAGCTCAATGGTGTTATTCAAGATCTGTTTCTAACGTCTCTATAATTCTTTCTTCCATAGATTCCAAAATGAACTTCCTTCCTTGGCTCATATTGATAATACTTACTGTTTCTTAAAGGGGTCCTCTGCTTTCCCTAGATCTCTAGCTGGGAACTCAGCCTCCTGGCTTTGTCTTTGGATAGATCTCGGCTCACAACTCAGCCTGAAAGCAAGCTCTATCTTCTCTGCTGATCTTCCCAGACCTCTTCATTCTGCAGTTCATCTTTCTCTGAGAAGCTATAAAGCTTGCTGTTAGCTTGTGCTTTTAGCATGTGTGTGCGCACATGCAAGTCCATCTAGGCTTGCATATTTCATTTCAAATGTGCCTGTGTCCTTCCATGACTCAGCAAGGTTGTAAGGCTTTGAAAGTGTATTTTACTATTTCATTCGTATCTCCATGGCTCGCAGGACCCGCCAGTGCGGTTTCTTCCTCTTTCACTTTTACATTCACATCTAGTACTCTTGAATATTCAACAGTCTTGCATATTGCTCTAAGTCAAAGCCTTTGGCCCTCTGTGTTGCTTTAGCATTGCAACAGAAGGACCAAAGACAATGGCTGGTCAGCTGGACTCTTGATGTCTAGCTCTTGTACTGAGCCAGATGGATTCACCTTTGCAGCTACACAAATGCTTTCCATTTCTGGTTTCCATGACAGCATGCCTGCCATCTTTTCCAGTGCACTACCCCGTTTTCTCTTCTAAATAACAATCTCAGCAAAGCCTGTATTCTGTGTATTTTTCAAGATTGTCTCCCCAGTGTCTAGTTATTTGAATGCCTAGAAAGAATAATAATGGCAGTTTGCTTTTAGTGAGAGTTTGTTTTGCACAGACACTGCTTGGCCACATTATTTGCATGATATTAACACATTCCTTACCACCTAAAAGTTAGGGACACTGCGTACATGGGTTATCAATTCTATTATACATTCTCTGTGTTTGTGTGGGTGGGTGTGTGCGCACATGCATGAGCATGCGCGCGTGCACACACACACACACACACACACACACACACACACACACATCATGGTCCTAGAGCTTAAACTCAAGGCCGTGGGCTTTCTCTTTGTTTTTTTCACTCATGACTAGCATTCTACCACAAGAGACATTCCTCTACTTGTGGCTTCTTTTTTTTCTGGTTAATTGGAGAAGAGATTTCAGTGTTTTTTTTTTCCTATCTGAGCTGTCTTTGAGCCTCAATCCTCAGATTTCAGCTTCCTGAGTAGCTAAGATCACAGGCATGAGCCACAGGCACCCCGCCTTGATTTTTCTTAGTGTTACTGGGGTTTACTCAGGACAATACTTGTTAAAGTGGAGCTCTGCTGCTGAGCCATGCCTCCAGCCCATGTTTGTGCTGGTTGTTTTTGAAATAAGCTCTCACTTCCTGCCTGGGTGTTTACATGGACCATGATCTGCCTATTTTAGGGTTCTCTTTGGAGTGAGGTTTCTTCCATTGAGTTGGAGTCTTACAGACTTTTCTTGCAGATTTTCTGGCAGAGTTGGCCTTGAATTGAAATCCTTCCAGTCAGAGCCACCCAGACAACTAGGATAACAGGCATGAGCCACTGGCATCCAACTCCATTGCCCTCTGGTACTCAAAATACTCAAGTTATACTTACACAACTATTTTTGTCTGGTGTCCTTACTAACTATTTATGGGTTTACCAGTGGTCAGTACCTTTCATTTGTAGCTACCCAATGTGCTTAGGGAAAGGAAACTTGTTTGAATTTTTTTTCCAAAGAGAGTATAGCTGATCAGGAAATTCTACACACACATTTTCTGTGGAAATAATTTTAGATTATTCAGTCCAGGGATTTTACACAATTGCAATGGTATTCTTAAACCATAGATAATAATTTTGTGTTTTCCTGTCTGCTCCATCATGTTATAAACTTCTGAGCTGCATAGATTCATGATCTCTACAAAATTTCTAATTGCTAATATAAATGTTAATACAACTTTTTCCACCTAAAGTAGTTCCACTGAGTTGTCTTTTGTATTAATATTGTCTCTGCTTTTCCCTCTTGTTTTTCAGGAAATCATTTGCCACAAGAATACTGTGAGTATTTTACTTAGCCTTCCACAAAGGTTTAAGTATTTTTTTAATCCATCAACTAATCTCTGATATATTCTTAATCTTTACAAATTACTAATTTTTGTTACTCCTTCTAGAATTCTGGCATATAATTATGAATACAGTTGCTTCATCTAAACAATTCTTTGCAATGATGGACATGGCACTGATACATGTGTTTTCTATATGTATTTACATTTTAGAAAAACAATTTCCAGTGGGCTGGGAAGGTGGCTCAGTGGTAGAGTGCTTGCCTAGCATGCATGGGTCCCTGGGTTCGATTCCTCAGCATCACATACGCAGAAAAAGCCGGAAGTGGCGCTGTGGCTCATGTGGTGGAGAGCTCACCTTGAGCTGAAGAGCTGAGGGATGGTGCCTAGGCCCAGAATTCAGGTCCCACAACTGACAAAAAACAAAAAAACACAATTCCCACAGTATTTCAGTGTTGTGGGGTTATAAAGCACTGAATGAGAATAAAGCGTCATATATAGAAATAAACACAAATATAGATTCATTCATAACGATATGCATATGTTGGTGTATTTATATATTTATGTAGTATATATCATATACTCATATATATCATATACATACACATATATATGTGTATACATAAAATATATACATATCTATGTAACTACCTATCATCTATCTCATTATTTAGCAAGAATGAGTTAAGTTCCAAAATGTTTAAATCTGTCTTTTGAGATCAAACTACAGAATTCCAAGAAGAATTAAACACAAAAAAGTGAGAAAATAAAATTTAAATTAAAAAAATGCTGCATGAGGAAACATTTTAATCTTCTAGTGAAAATAGTCCTGTTAGGCCAATGGCTGTGTAGATTTAATTTTAGAAACTAAGCTTGTATTTAAAAAAAGATCTTAAAGGATGCATATGCCTGCAATTTAGAGTGAAAAGAATATATAACATAAAGACTGCCAGTGATTAAAAGTTAGATAACAAGATTAAAAATGCAATTGATAGTTTTTCTTTAGATGGGAAATTCTAAAACTAAGAGTCAGAGCCCTTGTTGCTGTATGGCTAAAGTTGCCATTATAAAGCCTTATCCTTCTCATCTCTACAGGAAATGAGCACTTCCTTGCTCCACACTTTCAATGCAGCATAACGCATTTTATATCACAAGTACTAACTGAACATGATCTATATGTCAGGTGCTGGGCTTGGTCCTGGAGGGACTCATGATACAGGTTGAGAGTGGGGACAACAATCTTCACAACAGTCCCACAAGGCAACAAAAGAGAAGTACAATTGGAAGAGCTCAGTGATCCATATGTAAGCACACCACTAGAAAATGAAAGTTAAGATGACCTGCTAGGGATGGAATAGCTATGTTATCAAGGTATCAAGGTCCTTGACAACATAGGTGGCCTTCCCTTATATGGGAAGCAGGAGAGAACCAGTCACAGCCAGCCCAGTTTGGATACATGGAGAAGCTGGGTGATGAGAGGTTTAGATGGCACCTGTGCATCAGAAGCAAGGTGCTCATTGACTTGAGAAAGCTGCTGTGGTCCAGGTGTTGGGTGTCCTTGAACAGTTGAATGTTGTGCACATCTGATTCGATGTATTTCTTTCCAGAAGCTTCACTGATTTTCCTCCCACATTTATATGTCATGTAGTACATGACATTGAAAAACAGAATCAGACTTCTTTGTGTAAACAGTGAAGATAATTAGAATAAGATTTTATTTTGAGTTTGGGGATTTTATAGCCATGAGAGTAAACATGGACCAGAGAGATCATTGTCTGTTTCATGTGTCTTTCTCTTTAAAAAATCAGGTTTAATTATTGTAGTAGTAGTACCTTATTACTAAAAGGCAGCTGCTACATTTGAGGTGTTTTGCTCTTGCTCATACAGTAGTATGTTATTTATTTTGGATTATTATCTACTTCATACTATAAATTCAGTGGCAATCTACAAGTAGAAATTACTATAATCACATTGCTAAGTTATATGGGAACTAACTTGGGAAACAGATGTTCCCATCTCATTAATTTTCATTATTTCACCGGAGTGGATTTTCTCAGCAGTTGTTATCTTTCTGGAAAGCACCATGTCATGGGAACAACCCCAGTGAACGCTCTGTGCATGCTCTCTGGCTGCCTCTTACCCCTGGCCCGCTTTGTGCATCCTGGCGCCTCCTGCAGCTGGTCCCTCTTCCCCTGTCTTCCCACATTGATAATGGCACATTGAAAATAAAATTATTGCCTGTACAGCATGGAGAAGGCACTCCCTTGCATGTTGTGAGGCTGGAAACTTGGGAAAAGCTGTAGCATGCTTGGGTGTTTTCAACAAAGATTCTGATGGCCTATACCATGGGATTTATTAAGGGAGTGCTTTTCCTGCTGATTGTATAATTCCCATTTTACCACTCCATTGCCAGACCTCAACACCAGACATCTGGTAGTCATCCTCTTCCAGAATTAGTTTTACCAAACCCATGATCCTCAATGCCTACTACTTCAGTAATGATGGATAGTTCATTATTGCTGTGTCCAGTATTTCACTAATGATGTATGTGGCTCATGCTTTATACATAAGTGCCCATGTTTCTAAGGCTTCTGAAGATACAGAACTTTATTAAGCATTTGAGTATTGGAAAGTTTGGACAGCACTTTTAGGGGTTTATTGGCTTTTAAATCCATTCTCCTTTTGCATCTGAGCAGATTTGAAACTTTGCTTTTGTGCCAGATTGTTGGTGGCTCACACTTATAATCCTAACTACTCAGGAGGCTGAGATCTGAAGAAGCAAATTGCAAATTCAAAGCCAGCCCAGGCAGAAAAATCTGAGAGACTCTTAACTCCAGATAACCAGCAAAATGCCAGAAGTGGAGCTGGGGCTCAAGTGATAGAGCATCAGCCTTGAGCAATAAGCCAAAGTGAGGGAATGAGACCCAGAGTTCAAGCCCCAGTACCACAATAAATAAATAAATACCACAATAAATAAATAAATAAGCAAATGAATAAACTGTCTTTTTTTTTTTTGGCCAGGCCCTGGTGGCGCACACCTATAATCCTAGCTACTCAGGAGACTGAGATCTGAGGATATGGTTCAAAGCCACCCCAGGCAGGAAATTTCATGAGACTCATCTCCAATTAACTACCAGAAAAAGAGAAATGGTACTGTGGCTAAAGCAGAAGAGCTCAGGGACAGCACCCCCAGGCCCTGAGTTCAAGCCTCACGACCGACAAAAAATAAAACAAAACAAAAAAAACCCCACTTTTGTCATTTTGGGTTATGATGGGTTTCTAAAATATTCTTCTGCGATAATTCATGCATAGCTTAAGCTCTAGAAACTTTGGGAACACCCCTGTCTGATGTCCTTTCCTTCTTTGCTGTTTAGGCAGTGGCTTGAGTCAAAGGACGCAATTGGGTGGGCATGCTATAAGATTTTGGTAACCTTGTAGAGGCAGGACTTTGATTGTCCCCCCCCCCCCTTCCTGATCAGTCTTCCAGCCATTGCGTGAAGAACTTGGGAAAGGAACAGTTGAATGTAGTCAACCTCTTACAGTTCCGAATTATAGACTTTAGCTGTTACTACTTTATTACTGACATGTAAGTGCCTCAAAGGGTAATATAAATAAATATCATAAATAATTAAGTTTGACATTTCTTATCCGTTTCCTGTATTATCTGTTTCCATGTGGCTCAAGGAAGATTCCTGTAGAAGGTGAAAAAAGGTTGGAAAGCAGGGGTCAGTCACACGGGTGGTCACATATGTCCTTATAGAGAAAGGGTCTTTTGTTTTGGGGTGTTTTTTTGTTTTTGCTTTTGTGCTGGTTCTGGGGCTTGAACTCAAGGGCCTAACCAAGTGCTGTTCCTGAGCTTCTTTGCTCAAAGCTACCCCTCTACCACTTGAGCCACTTCTGGCTTTTCGTTGTTGTTGTAGTTAATTGGCGATTCTTTGATCTAGTCACAAACACCTCGGGGATCAGCTGCGTGAGCTAATCTCCCTTTCTCCCTACCTGTAAATAAAAGGTAACAGCACCTTCTTCAGTGAGTTTTGTTCATGCATGTTAAAGTTGAATGTATGACTGCACCATGCTAGACTAGACCTTGGCCTATGCAAAGACCGAGTAAAAATTTACCCTCACTGGACTAGTGCTAAGAAGAGAGTTACTCTCTTGCTTCCTCTGTGCCTGTGTGGCTGGTAGCCAAGACTGGAGCTTTGAGCGTCCCTACAGTGGTGACTGTAGGGTTTGTTGGATGTCTCATTCAAGTGCTTACCCCTTTCCTTTTGTCTGCCTGTGTAGAAAGATCCCTTCCATTTTCGTTAAGGCAACACACATTCCCAGGCCAGCATTTGGACTTGAAGCTTCTTTACATTGTCATCTCATATTTACAACTATCTTCTAGACATTTTCATTAAAAAAAACCCCAATCTGTTAATCCCAGCCATCTCTCCTCTTACCTATCTCACTCCAATCAAACCTTAATCTGCTGAAGTTTTTTGTTTTTTTTTTGTGAGTTTTTTAATGTTTACCTGGAAGTTGGATTTTATTTGGAGTTACTACCAAATGGACAGCAGGTTTCTCAAAGTGTGATGTGTTCATCAATAAATGAGCATGATCCTGCTTTCTAAATTCTTGCTTTCAGCTCACATTAGCACTCTTTTTTGGTAGTCCCATTTGGACTGATCTTTGACTAGTTCTGCACATGGGCAATTGGTTACCAGTCCAAGAGAACTCAGCTTGTATATCTTTCTCCTTTGTTATCACTGTCCATTTAGTCATAGTATGCAGATTCCTACCCAATTTTTTAAACCATATTTCTTTCTTTTAGTGTAGCTTATTATCTGTCTCTACAGCCAAGATATGCAGCTGTGGTTATGTTTTCTTCCCTGCTCTAGATTCTTTTTGATTTTTCCATTGCCCAGAACGTATAGATTTTGTTGTTGCTCCTTTTGAGACAGAATATTGCAACATGGCTCAGGCTGACCTAGAACTCTTGTTCCTCCTACCTCAGCCGCTGAAGTGCTGGGATTACAAGTATACGCCACTATACTCAGCTTCCCAGAATATATAGTTTTGAACCTTTGCTTGCCTTCAGTTTTCTTCCCTGAGCCTCAAGTGCTTGTCAGATTTGTTGACTTGGGATGTCCAGTCCTTTTCCTTTTGTCTTCTTCCTGGCAGTGTTTTTTGGCATGAATACACTTTAGTTAAGCATGACATGGGAAATGATAGAGGCTCAGTGAGTTCAGGTCATAATGAATTAGGGAAGAGGGACCAGGCAAAGCTAGTGAGAGGCAGGATCTTCAGGGTTCGGGCCTTCCAGGATTCCAGTACAGGGTCTCATCTTCATTCTAACCATACTAGTTAGGACTTTGTGCAACTGTGGGAAGCTGTCTGATGTAGAGTAAAAAGGAGATGGGGATGGAGAGGGGGTAAAAGTAGAAGTAGGGCCAGTGCCTGTAGTGGTAGAGAGCTAGCTTTGAGCAGAAAAGCTCAGGCCCCAAGTCCAAATAAAAAATAGAAGCAGAAAGACCAATGGAAACCACCTGCACAAACTCAGCCAGGTGCTCTGGTGCAGGGGCTTGAATGCTGAGAGAGAGGATGGAGGCAGAGAGCCAAATCTCAGACACATGGTGAAGGCAGACTAGGTAGGACAGTGTGTAGGAGGGAAAACATGATTATCAAAGCTAACTTCTGAGTCTAGTTTTAGTGAGGGTGAGATGAGTAGGTATAACCTTGGAAAGCAGCTTGAGGGGAGCAGCTGTGTCCTGGCTTCAATCCCAGCACTGCTGGTTATAGCAAAACACTTCAGCTGTTAGCTCACAGTATTTTCCTATATTTCTATTGTGTTTCTGACTAAAATTTAAATTCCCTGAATGCTGAAAGTTGTGCTTTTCAAATACTCATATTTTCTCTACAGCATGAATCATAGTGCTTTAAGCCATACAAGATGGTGAATAAATATTTCATGGTTGATAGAAATGGTTGCATACATTTTTTTTTGGTATCCTCTGTAATCATATGGAAGTAAGCAATTAAACAGATGGGGAAATTTCCATTTGCATGGGTCATAAATAAGAAATGAGGGGGTTTTTGTGTGTGTGAAACCTGGGATTGTGTTATTGTGGCACCCCCTGGCCAGGTGTCTCCTCTTTCCCCAGATGTGCACCGGGAACTACACCTTTGTCCCTTACATGGTGACTCCACATAACAAAGTCTACTGCTGTGACAGCAGCTTCATGAAAGGCCTGACAGAGCTTATGCACCCCAACTTTGACCTGCTGCTGGGGCCCATCTGCTTACCTCTCACGGACCGTTTCATTCAGCTTTTGAAGGTGGCCCAAGCAAGTTCCAGGTAATTCTTAGGGCTGACATTTGCATACTAGTAATGCGGTATGGTTTTACTTCATTTATTCCTGCAGCTTATCCTCAGATTGTTAGATGATTAAGAACAAGGAGGGAAAAAGGGAACAGCTTGCGTTAAGCAAAAGGAAAGAAATGTAAATATCACCTGATATGGAAGAAATCATTTGTAGTGTCAAAGCTCATAGAATTCACAAACTTTATAGACCATGATAATGACAGTTTGCCTTGTGACTTTTGTTTGTGACTTCAACTAAGTATCACTATTCTACAATACTGTGAAATAACTGAAATGTATATAATCACCTAATCTCAATTAAAAAATAGAACCAAAAAAACAATGTGCAGTGTCTTCTAAATGGATAGAACAGATGCTATTATAATTTACCTATTGCATTATATCTCCTTCATAGAACTTGAAATCTATCGCCCAAAAAAGACAGTTAACTACTTTATAATAATGGCAGAGCAAAAGATACATGCAAAACAAATATAGAAACATCAGAATAAATGTCAGAGACTTTTAGTGTAAAGAGTCAAAACTCTGAAAAAATTTGTGTATGTATTTCAATTATGTATTTGCTTAACCATTTTTGCTAATGAATGGTGATACTGAGTTGGAAAATAAAGATTACACCATGTTAAGATCATAGGCAGAATTCACTTATTTAGAATAGTTTCCACTCAAAATAATAAATTCTAATAGAGTTTGAGCCTTTCCTGAAACGAGAATTAAAAGAAATACATGGACTCTCATCTTTATTTTTGTGCTAGTATGGAGCTTGAACCCACTCAGGGCCTAGTGCTGTTGTTTGCCTTTTTCACTCTAGCATGGTGCTCTACCACTTGAGTAAGGTCTCCTACTTCAGCTTTTGGCAGATTAGAGTTTTATGGAATTTTTTTGCCCTGGTTGGCTCTGAGCTAGAATCCTCATATCTCAGCCTCCTTAGTATCTAGGATTACAGCTGTGAGCCACTAGAAGCTTCACATGCCAAACACATGAGGTATTCCTTCTATACCTTAGAATCTATTTGTGCAGAAATGTCATTCTTTTCCCTATAAAAATTTTCACTTAACTCTTTTCCAATGTTAACTATTAGAAATGTGTTTTTTTTCCCCAGCCAATATTTCCGGGAATCTATACTCAATGATATCAGGAAGGCTCGGAATCTGTACACTGGTAAAGAATTGGCAGCTGAATTGGCCAGGATCCGGCAGCGAGTTGATAACATCGAAGTCTTAACAGCAGATATTGTCATCAACCTGTTACTTTCCTACAGAGACATCCAGGTGAGAAGATGCTGAAGGTAAAAGCTTTGTTATGTAGCATTTGAGAGTAATCAGCTGGCTAATAAATTATTTATGCTGCTTGACATAATGTGTATGTGCGCACACGTGCGTGCAATTATGTTGGAGCTTGAACTTAGGGCCTGGGTGTTGTCCCTTAGCTTTTTCTCTCAAGGCTGATGTTCTTGAGCCACAGATCCACTTCTGGCTTTTTAGTGGTTAATTGGAGATAAGAATCTCATGGTGGGGCTGGGAAGGTGGCTCAGTGGTAGAGTGCTTGCCTTGCATGCATGAGGCCCTGGGTTCGATTCCTCAGCACCACATAAATAGAAAAAGCCGGAAGTGGTGCTGTGGCTCAAGTGGTAGAGCGCTAGCCTTGAGCTGAAGAGCTGAGGGACAGCTCCCAGGCCCAGAGTTCAAGCCCCACAACCAACCAAAAAAATAAAAGAAGAAGAATCTCATGGACTTTTTCCTGCCCAGACTAGTTTTGAGCCATCATCCTCAGAACCCAGCCTCTTCCTGAGTAGCTAGGATCATGGCCCAAGCCCCTGGTACCTGGCTCACGTAACTTTTTATTGACCCTTCTATACTTTTCATCTCATGATTTTCTGATGAATGAAAATGACCCGTTAGCCAACAATGATTGTGAAATACTTGTATTACAAATATTTGACTTGTCCTTGAAAGAAGCCAAAAGAAAATCTGCTCACAGAGCTAACCCTTTCTAGTCTGCTAGCCTCAGTCAGGCATACCTGGCAGTCAATAAATAAAAGTTTTGTTTTGGCAACTGGCAAATATTCCGAGAGCTTTCAGGGAATATCTTTTACTTCCTGAAGTTATGTTGTGTTTGAAACTGATAGTGCCAGAAACAAGAAATATGCAGTTAATTAATTATAAAATCAAACATATCAACATAATCACTCTCATTGACATGTCTTGGGAATTTATTTTGGTAAGTAGAATGCTCTCTCTTCTCAGATTGGGATTTGCTGTTAGGTTTTGTAATAAAATTTAAGTGACTTTGGGTTTCTTATTTTCAGTCATAGGCCCTTGGGGCTATATAAACCTTCATAAAGACAAGAGACATATATATGTGGAGCATGATGAAACCTAAGAGCTCATGGAGACAGTAGCTTACCAATGTGAACCCTTTCCTACTTATAACAGAAATGCAAGCAACTGCTCTGTGTCCTTGAAATATTTTATTTCCCTGAAACTGATGGAGTCTGGCTCTGTGGAGAATGAACTATTCATTTTTAAATAATAGAGTATCATCTTGCTGGGTAGTTTTTTTGTTTGTTTATTTCTTTGGCTTTTGTCAAACATAACAACTGCATGCTTAATGGTTTTTACCCAGATAATTGAAACAGAAAAAAACCCACAACAGCAATTTCTTCTAAATTCTCTAAAATATTTAATGGACTCTTTCCCATTTCATGCTCTCCTCAGATTCATGTGTTTAGGGGTCGAGACATTTCATTGTCAGCTCTTTCTCCTGATGTCTTTACTCTGTCATTTTCCTTTTCCTTGAAAGGACTATGATTCCATTGTGAAGTTGGTAGAGACTTTAGAAAAGCTACCAACCTTCGATTTGGCCTCCCACCATCATGTGAAGTTTCATTATGCATTTGCTCTGAACAGGTAAGAAGCAGGCTCCTCCCTCCACCCACACGAATGCATTATTGTGTTATGCACAGATTGTTTACAGAGTTCTTGTCATGTTGCAATGACTTCTTATTAGAATGTAATATTCACATAGCAGTCTCTGCTATGTGAAACACGGAGAGCACGTGTTCTGGTTTCTTCCTGATTCTTTTTATATTTTTCCAACAACAGTTCTTTTTTCTTCTCTGACCAAGTTTGTATTTGCTATTTATATTTTATTGACTTTTAAAGTTATACAAGCATGGCATTCTCTTTTGGCAAATACTATTGTCCATTAGTATTTGTAAGGGACTGGTTCAGGTCCCCTTAAAGGTACCAAAATCAAACAATGTTCAAATCCCTTTCATAAAGTTTTATAGACTCTAAATCATCCCTTGATGACTTAGATTACTAAGTACGAGAAAGAGTAAACAGCATCATGATGTAGTCACTACACTGCATTGTTTAGGGAATAACAACAAGAAAAAAATTCTGTGCATGTTCTACATACAATTTTTTCTGATTGTTTCTAGTCCAGCATTGCTTGAATCCAAGGATGTACAACCAACAAATACATAGGACTGACTTTACACTCAGCACCAAATGTACACTCACATAAGATGAACTAATGGAGAGTAAGGACAGAATATATAAGTGAACATATTCCAACACACAGGATGGTTTTATCAGGACTTCTATGAAATCACCTAGTTATGATCAGAACTCTGTTGGTCATGGTTTAGATTATGTATCCATGAATCTGCTCCTACTAGGAATGGTATTGATGCTCCCAGTCCTGCCTTTGCCTTTGTCTGCATCATGGCAGACCTCAGCCCCACTTTGATGTGCAGTTACCAGGAAGGGTCTTTCATGCTGTAGCTGTGAGTAAAGCTAGAGCATCAGTCCTCCGAAACTTACTGAATTGCTCATTTCTTTTCTGATAAGAGAGTTGCCAATAGAGAGATAGAGAAAGAGAGAGAGAGCGAGAGAGAGATAGACAGACAGACAGAGAGTGATGAAAATGGGGAGGTGTTACATTTGTGGAGCACTTGCCACATATCATATAAACTGAGATTATTTTTATTCTTTGGACAAGACCACTGGAAATGGAAAAGGTTGCATAACCTTTCAGTGAGTAACCTATTAAACCAGGACTCAGTCTTTCTTCCTTTTGGTCTGGTGGTCTGCGCTTCTCACTGCTAGCTCTTGCTGCCTTGCTCTAGATGAAAAAGACACCAGGACACTCAGCTAGAAGCTGTGTCTTTCCTTGTTTTCCACTGAGCTGTAGAACATGCTATCAACAAATGAACACTGGAGTCTATTTTATCTTCCATTTAGACTTACCTTACCTTTTGGATAAAAACTTCAGAGTTTACTTGCTCTAACTGGTTCTCAAAGACATCCTTTTTTGAAGCAGAATGGATTAGTTTATATTTTAAAATGGAGTGTGAAAGTCCATAAGAATCTCTTACAGTTTTGCTTTATGTATTTTTTGTAAAACAGCATTTAATGAAGTGAAAAGCATGTTTGAAGCAATATTCTTAACCCAAAATGTTTAGTAGAGAGGGTAAAAAGGAAATTCATGTAAGAAAATTTGAGATAGTAGTTAGGGATATGACAACTTTTTAAATAGTAACTCTTGAAATATAATCCATATACTTTGCAATTTCTTAGTTAAAACATAAAACTCAGTGCTTCTAACTTGTTAATATATTGTATAACCATCAACCTAACACATTATTGAACATTTTTATCAATCCTAAAAAAAACTCCCTTACCCATTAGAATTTACCCTCTCATCCCACACCATCATCCAAACATTCTAACATGGCAATCACTAATCCACATTTTGCCTCTGTTAACTTGTCCCATTCTAGACCTTTGTAAATGGAATTACATAATATGTGTTTTGTGATTGACTTCTTCTACTTAGCTTATTTTCACAGTCCAAGAAAAGCAAACTCTGGAGAATTTTTGTCTGGTATTGACAACTATCTGCACATGTTATTTTAAAATAAGCCACATAAAGAACTTCCTTAGGTAACCAGTAGGCCACACACCAAAATTATGTACTTCTTGGGTTGGATTTATTTTCTGGAATTATCTGTGAGTTTTCTTACAGTTTTAAAACAAAGGCTATTGAAACCTTAGGTTAAAAGTTTGTCTCTCTTTGGAAAAACCGACTCTTTCAAGGCCACAGACTGTGGTTCTATTTTTCATTCCACCAATTTGAACCTGCATATGAACTGCATGAAGTCAGAACAACTGTAGGGAGTTAGTTCAACTCCATTGCCAGGAGCCATAGAGCAATTCAGGAGATCCTTTTTAGACCCCATACATGGGCAATAGGACAGGGAAGGATTACAAAAAGGTCTGTAAAGGACTCTCAAAATCTCATTGTTGTTGTTTTCTTGCCAAACTTAATTGATGTGAATCAATACATTATTTAGAGTTTTTAAAAAATAATGGGACTCTACTTGCTTTTGTGATCCATTTCAAAACAATATTCTCTACCTTAGGAGAAATCTCCCTGGAGATAGAGCAAAAGCTCTTGATATTATGATCCCCATGGTGCAAAATAAGGATCAAGTTGCTTCAGATATGTATTGCCTCCTTGGTCGAATCTATAAAGACATGTTTTTGGACTCTAATTTCACCGACACTGAAAGTAGGGACCATGGAGCTTCTTGGTAAGTATAGAGGATATAAGGAAGAAACTTACTTAATAAGCTCATGACATCCACAATTGCCTGTCAATGAGAATGCTAAAGTAAAATCTCTTAGATGGCTATTGGGAAAGAAATCTTAGATTTTATAGACTTTACATTTATTTAACATGACAGAATAAGTTGGGATGAATTAGATGAAAAAAAACAAAGATATGATTTGAGAAAAGACATTTGAAATAGAGAAAAATCAACCCAATATAATATTGAATATTTTTAATCAGTCCAGAAAGAAACCCCTAGAACATCATTATAGTTTATTAAATAAATACTTTAGAATAAAAAAACTATATATGTGGAAAAACTAATAGGACGACATTAAAAGAGACCTGAACATGTACAAAAGTATATCAAGTTTGTGAATAAGTAGGCTTTATTTTTATTTATTTATTTATTTTTATTATTTATTTATTTATTTATTTTTGTTGGTCATGGGGCTTGAACTCTAGGCTTGGGTGCTGTCCCTGTGCTCTTCAGCTCAAGGCGAGCGCTTTCTTGAGCCAGAGCACTAGCGGTTTTTATTGAAGATAAGAGTCTCATGGACTTTCCTGCCTGGGCTGGCTTTGAACCGAGATCCTCAGATCTCTCCTCCTAAGTAGCTAGGATTACGGGTGTGAGCCACTGGGGCCCGGCTATTTTTATACTTTAAAGATGTTAATTATCCGCAACAGGACTTTTCATTTTTTTATTTGAAAAAATAAAGTATCAAGAGTAAACAAAGCAATTCTAGAGAAGAAAAAGGTGGAGAGATTTGCTCTACTAGATAGTGAGACTCACTATAAAGCTGCAACAATTAGGGTATGGCAGTATGGCCAAAGACAGAGACAAATCACACACTGGAACAAACAGATTTATGACAGAGAAGCCCAAGATTCATGAGCCAGGGTGAAGGGATAGACTCTTTAGATGTGAAGATAGCACTGGGGAAATGTGTTTGTTTGCTTGGAATAATAAAGTTGGACCTCCTTCTTTCCTTTTTTCTTTCCCTCCTTCCTTTCCTCCTGTCCTATCTCCATGCTTCTTTCCTTTTTCTCCTGCCTTCTTTCCTTATTTTCTTGCTAACTTTCCCATCTCCCTCCTTATCTTCCTTCCTTCCTTCTTTTCATCTTTCCTTTGTGGTTCTAGAAGTTGAACCAAGGGCCTCATGTTTGCTAGGCAAACATTCTACTCCTGTGCTACATTCCCAACCCTAGATCCCTATCTTAAACTCTGTGTAAAAATAAAATTTAAGTGAATTAAAAGCCAAAATATAAAAAATACCTTAGAAAAACTACTTTTAGAATGAAATATACCAACTATATTTATGACTTTGAGATAGGAATGAATTTTTTAATCAGGGCTTACAAGTACCATAAACCATAAAAGAAAAGATTGGGGGGAATGGATTGAGTTAAAAAGTACTTCTGCTCCCCAGGGCCATGGCTTTTGGAATGGGCACAGTAGGTTCTTGTAATGATCAATGGCAATTGTAACTTGGAATAAAAATTTAAAAAGCAATTGGGTCAGGCGGCATATGCTTACATTCTAAGCACCTGGGAAGTAGAGGCAGGGAATTGTAACCTCAAAGCCAGCCTGGCTTCTATAGTGAGTTCACAACCAACTTGAGACTCTTTCAAAAGAAAGACAATGTTGGGAAGTACCAAAGAAGTACCAAAGTAGCTCAGGAGATTTAGGACTAGGAGAGATTTTGATCGATGAATGAATTGCAGATAACACAGGACATTTAACTGTTTTTTTTTTTTTTTGGTCTTTTCTTTTTTGGTACTGGGGATCGAACCCAGGACGTTGCACTTGCTAGGCAAGCGCTTTGCCACTGAGCTACATACCAGCCCAACACAGGACATTTAAGCAGCTTTCCCCCTGGGATTCTCCCTGGATACAGGGCACAGCATGACTCAGGCAGAACTCAGGCAGAAAAATCACAGTCTCAGCCTAAGGAGTCAGTGTGAGGCTGCCTGAGTGCCTAGGAATTGGGCAGGATCACCTCTAAATGAAGGTGCCACAAAGGGAGGATCGTCATGTCTCATATTCCCTTCTGTTCATGGCTAACCCCTGAGGTTCACAGGTAAGGACTGTGTGGGGTAAAACCACAGGCAATCCCATGTGAGACTAAAGAACTGAACAAAGGTTTCAGTCACTACCCAGTGCAAGGGAGTTAGAGTTTGGAGTTTGAACCCACAAGGAAGGAAGAGGTATGATATGGCAGGGAAAGTATTTGAAGAATTAATGGACAAATATTATCCTAATCTGATAAGACTAATCAGACACACACACACACACACACACATATTTAGGAAGCTCAGAAAAAAATCAGGATAAATAAAGAAAACTATCCCCTAGATAATTGCTGAAGAAGAGAATTGCATAAAAATGTCACAAGTGCAACATGGGAAAAAAACAAACATATTTTATAAGGGAGAACGTAAGCCTTACTTTCTATCCAAAAGAGACCAGAAGACAATTGAATAACTCTCTTAAAATACTGAAAGAAAATAATGGCCAATCAAGAACTCTACATGTACCCAGTGAAAGTATCCTTCTAAAACAAAAGGGAAACCAAGACAATTCTCAGAAAAAAAACAACTGACATTACCTGTTGCTAACATGCCTTCACTAGAAAAATGACAAAGGAACTTGGTGCAGTGGCTCATTCCTGTAATGCTAGATACTTGGGAGGCTGAGATTGGGAGGATCAAAGTTTGAAGCCAGCCTGAGAAAACAGTTTATAAGGTTCTTATCTCAACTACTAAAATGTTGGGTGTTGTGTTTATCTGTCATCCCATGGGAAGCATAAATAGGAGGATGTGGTTCAGGCTAATAAAGTCAAAACAAAAACAGAAAGGTTTGGGACATGACTTAAAAGGTAGATTGTCTGAGTTCAAACCCCAGTACCACAAAAAGGAAAAAGTTGAAGGGAAGTGACAACAAATAGATTCTTGAATATATAGGAAGGAATGTATAACACTGGAAATGAGGAATGTATAAAACATTTTGAACAAACCAGAAACAAGGAACAATGTATGTAACCAATATAGAATTTAGTCTCGTTTTATAGCCACATAAATATTTTGACATTATCAAGGAAAGCTAACAATTTGCCTATTTTAGATGTAGTCATTCTGAGAAAAATGTAACATAAGTATGTTATTCTATTTCCTAAGCTGAAAGGAGGCTATGTCAATATTGTATTGTTCAACAGAACATGTTACTCCTTCTAAAATATTCCCAAATTAAAACATCTGTATGTATACATACAAAGGATTTCCACAATTCAGGAGTTTCTCCGTAGCAACCATAAAACACTTTCAAGTTGTAAAACTGAAATTTAACATTAAAATCTCCTGTCATTAGCTGGGTGCTGGTGGCTCATGCCTGTAGTCCTAGCTACTCAGAAGGCTGAGCTCTGATGGTCTCAGTTCAAAGCTAACTCCAAACTAGAAAGTGAGTAAGATGCTTATCTCACAATTAGCCAGCAAAAAGCCAGAGGTAGAGAAGTGGCTTAAGTGGTAGAGCACCAGCTGTTGAGCAAAAAAGCCGAGTGAGAATATGTAGCCCTGAGTTCAAGCTCCAGTCCAACACACACACACACACACACACACACACACACACACACACACACACACACACACACCTGCCATCTTAGTAGGAGAGTGTCAGCGGAATAATGGGTTATAACCACAGAGAAAAACCAGTATCATGACTTCCTAGGTTCTTTGTAGGAAGAACCTGCTACTCTAGAGCTACAGTAGAGGAATGTAACTGTGAAGCCTTTTCATTATGTAGAGATTTACACTTCAGTAGAATTCTGGCTCGTAAGAGAATTAGAATATGACATTTGAGGAATGTTACCTCTGATAGAAATGCTTTGACATGGTAGGGATAAAGAGAGCCCTAGTTTCTGCTCTGTGAACTCAAGTGGAAACCCCTCATAAGAATTTGTGCACAAGAACAAAATCCATGTGCTTCCTCATGTTCAAGGTCTTGCCAATTCACGTAAGGAGCAGAGATTTGTCTGCTTTCATTCTGGCTTTATTTTGTCTGAACTTTTCTGGTTCTGTTTTATGCTTCCTAGTTATAGGTAAGCAATCAAGATCAAAAGCCACATTCCTGTAGTATGAGATAAATCAGCAACACACACAAGATCAGCTCCTAATGCCTGGATCATTAAAGTCTGTGAACTCTCTCACAGGGTTCTCTGCTCTTGCTAGAAAACTAATCAGTAGCTTAAAATAAGATCATAACATCTGCACATCTTCTGCTTGACCACAAAACTCTTGTGAAAGACAGCTCATGGACACTGAAAAGCCATTTTAAAATGCTTTTGATCCCCTCACACTCATAAAATGATTTCAGTGTTTCCTACGACTTTGACCCACTAGCCACGGCAGTGAGGGCACACATTCTGGCCCAGTGCTGGTGGAGGAAAGCATGGCGGGGGGAGGGCACCACAGAGGTTACAGGTTTGCATCTACCCTCAAGTCCTGGGTCCCAGTGGGATGTTTCCACCCTCCTTCTTGTTTGAGTCACAAGCCTCTGGGTTTCCCCTTGTCAAAGGCGGGTGCTGGGATAACAAGTGAATCCTCATAGCTAACTCCCTCCCATCCTGGACTTCTTTCCATAGAAAGTGGTTTTCTGCTTGTTTGAATAAGCAATGGTCTATAGACCATGGAAAGTCAGGGGATACAAGCTTCAAGCTCTTGTATGACAAAGGCTCATTGGCTTCCTTCTTGTAATGTCTATTTTATTATATTTTATTTTTTAGCGGGATTAGAGTTTAAGCTTGGGGTCTTATGCTTGCTAGGCAGAGATTCTACCACTTGAGCCCCACCCATCCCTTTTGGTATTAGTCCTTATTCAGATAGGGTCTTGAATATTTTGTTCAGGCCTCACTTAGACCTTGATCCTCTTGCCTACTGGTAACTAAGATCATAGACAGGCACCATTATGCTCAGCTTGTTTGTTGA